GATATGATTCGTCTTTGTAGGACATTCAAAACTTTGGATAAGTGACATGTGCAAGATCTCAGAACCCCTCGTCACGTCTTACTCTTCAACCACCGGCATCGGGGGACAGTCACCTGTAGTCTCCGGGGTTCCAAAATTGGGATGACGATCATATACTCCGGCTCCGCATAGATCGCCAGTGGAATTCCATGTCGTGGTGGTTTCTGAAAATGAGTGTGGCCCAGGCTTAGTTCAGGCTCGAGAGGTATAGTTTTTGGGAGCTAAGTTCTTGAAGATACCCATATCACCATGTCGACAACATTCACGATATTCGCCGACCCCTGCCCACAGCGTGGGAGGCGCGTCAGAGAAGAAGGGTTGGACCTGTGCTTTTTGGAGTGGTTGCAACGGTTGCAGTGGTCACTTCACCCACAACTGCTGGATGTAGTGTCGTGTCGTGCAGCTGAAGCTATCGTTGTAGTGTAATGGGGTTGTACCTGTGCTGTCGTGTAATTAGCGTGGTGCAGTTGCAGTCGTTTCGGTGCGGTGTCATGCGTGCAATGCGCTGGCGTGTCCCGTACTGTCGTGTCCTGTACTGTTGCGTGCCCTCTTGTAGTCGTGTCGCATAGTGTCATGGCATTAGTGTAGTGACGTGTACTGTAATGTACTGTCGTTGTAGTTGTTGTTGCGGTTGCAGTTGTAGTGGAGTGTGGTGTCGTGTACTGCCATATGGTGTAGTGAGTGTCGTTAGTGTCCGTGTCGTGTAGCGAGTCCACTTTTCGACCCTCCGGAGCCACAGATCCTTGTCAACACAGAGTGCTTCGCGACTTTTCTACCCTTTCGCGCACCTGCATCGTCTTTCTTCTGACCCTTTCTCTTCTCTGATCTTCTTGCTTCTTCTCTGCTCTTCTCTGACTCTTCCCATCTCTGCTTTTCCATCTGTCCCTCTTGTCAGAAGTTTGACTTCGAAACTTCCTTTGCTTGAATTAATTTTTGATGTTTTGTTGCCATGATAAAGCACAAAAAAGCAAGCGACGAAACAAGATTGCGAACCTGCACCAGCGTCCGTTGGTCACTGAGTTTCACACAGACATGAACCTCCAGGGGTCGGCGGCAGAGGGCGTAGCCCTTTAATCCGGGCGCCGGCCCCGGGGCCGTGCCCGTGTCCTTGCCGGAGGCCTTCGGTTGGTAACCGAAGGTTATATACGGCTGCCGCCCCTGCCGCCGACCGGCTCTGCCCGATTCCGCCCCACCCCCGGCCCACGATTATCGTTGTAATTTACAGTGTATTCTGCGTGTGGTGTTCAAAAAACATCGTTTTTTACAGGGTTTTGTGGCCTTCGCCGTCTCCAGGTTTCATCTTGGCGACGTTAAAAACCATGGGTTTTTCATGGTTTTGGGTCTTAGGACGGGGTCCGGAACGGAAAACTGGACATCTTGACGGCCTTGGTGCCAACATAGGGCCAACATCGGCCAAGATGTGGGCTACATGGGTCA